GACCCTGTTTTGAGCAGGCAGGTGAGTCTAGGTCATCTCCTGAAGTTCCTTCCAGCCTCAATTATACTATGAGAAATTTTCCTCAAACCAAATGTTGACTATGATGGCCTTTCTAAAGCCTGTATATTTGGTAGAGATACTTAAGGAAACTTAACTATAACACTACTTTTTTCAGTTTTAGCAAAGAAATAATGGCTTTAAATGTATCCTCAGCCATGGCATTTGAAACATGGTCACTAACAGAACCAGCAGCCTGAAACCAAGCACCAAGGCTGTTAACGTGAACTTCACACGAACAGTGAGCCGCTGAATAAGATTAAAGAAGCCACCTACACGAGACACCTACAAACTCACATGCAGCCCAAGGCGGGCAGTTACCACATAACACGCAAGTGCTTCAAAACTACTTACAGTAAAACACAACACTGAAAAGAGCACATATCGTTCTGGTGGCAGCATACCCAGCAATACAGAATGAATCTTCTGTGGAGCTCTTGACTCATTTCTAAACAGAGTCATGTGTAGTGCTGACAACCTTGCAACTACACTTAAACATTTACAACGAACAGATATGTATCAAAATATTAAAATGCTTCTTCCCCAGAAACTTCGATCTTTCTCATCAAGCTCCCATAAAACATCAGCATTGCATTTAGGCTAAAAGAAAAAAAGCCATTTTGATAAGGCACGTTTTGCAGGAGTTTTCAAAATCAAAACAGTAGCTGAAATAATTACTGGGTCTTGTCAACCTCTATTCCTTCTTAACACTATATGTATATGAATAAGTATAATTACAGGAGGCATCTCAGTGTTCAGAAAAATTTAAAAGGTATTGTAATAACAGATTGAGGAAAATTTGTTAGCTAGAAAATATCACCAAAGTGATAATTTTAAAAAGGTGCACAATTATAATTTTTTGGGTCACGTTTTGCCAAGTCCTAAGTCTCCTCCCAATCCTATGCAACAGCATGTATCTCATAAGCTTTACATCAAAATGCTGATATTCTCTCATCTGTCTTTCCCAGGCAATGAAAAGACTTGAACTGGAAACTATGTCTTTAAGCTACCACATATTCTAGAACTTCATCACTGTACTACCTCAATTCAGGTAGTTTAAGTAACAATAGTAGTAATAAGCAGTTTAGAAAGTGTTACCAACTGAAATACATAAACTGATGAACATCTAAATAGGGAACTTCACTCAAAGGTCCCAGTGAATGCTGAATATTTGCTAGTAGCCTTAAAAATACTACAATTAAAATAAAAATCACAAAACAACTGATGTCTTTGAACAAAGAATGTGCTGTGTTGTAGGGGGTAAAAGCAATGGAGGGAAAAAGGTAAACGTCCCAAAGAAAAGAGTAAAAAAATCAAAAGAACAAAACAGAAAAAACAGCTAACACCAACCCCATAAACAAGGATACTCAGTAAGTGACTTGTTAAAACCAAATGGTTTCTTATGTGCTGTGAGGATCAGATCCAAATATCTGTATCTGTCCTACACAGTATTATTTTAGACATCTACTGACAAGAAAAGCTCCTCCCAAGGAAATACTTGCAACATGATTATATTTTGTGGACACAGTTCCCAGTGCCACTTCTTTGGAACAGATCTAACAACTGTTAACTTGACTGGAAGATGAAGCCAGTCTATGCCTTTCTAGCTAACCAGGAAAGAAAAGTCTTTTGGAGCCAACATATGAAACTCCACATCAGGCCCTGATTATTCAGGACAGATTCTGACTAAAAGACAGGATATGAGAAAACTCATTAGGAAGGGCTTTTTACAGCCTCTTTCAGTTTATTTCAGTTTTTGGAAATAGGCTAGAACTCTGTTCAAAATTTTGAGATCCCAGCCTGACTCACTCTTCAGATACAGGTTGTTTCCGCCAATAGTGGGGTAAGCAACGTGTTTAACTGAACTTCCCTAACTCTGCCAGCTGCAGAAAAAAAAAGTTTATTCATAAATGTTGGAGTATATAGAAAGAGTCATGCTTTGAAAAAAAATATGACTGTAATTACATACTGTGGGCCCAAAATAAAGACTAAAACCTTCTGTGAAAAGATTAGAAAGCAGTGAATACACTAAGGCACAGAACTGCCACCATTATGTGGATACTCTGTATTTTAAATTTAAATATGTAACAGCAGCACACATAAGGAACAGATATAAATAATACTCTCCACGTGTGTAACACTTCTTACGACAATTCATACTGTTCATAATCTGCACTAGATGCTTACTGAACAGTACCTCTGGCGTGCATCAGGAGCTATCAAAACATCTCTGCAAAAGGTTCAGGTTTAACTGATGTAATCTCTAACAGCTTCCCATCTGTCCACAGACTACAACACACACATCTTTGTGTGTTCAGACATTCTGAAAGTTCTATATTGATCCTTGTGTCCTCTGATTTATGTCATACTGAAAACTGGTGTGGTAATTAATACCTAGTTTGTAAAAAAAAAAAGCAGTGATCTTAATTATTAAAATTTTTAATTTAAAAAAAGTCACCTCAAGTTAACTGCTAATCTGGGGGAAAAAAAAAAATCCTCTTTTCAAATATTCTAACAAGAGTAGCACACAGAGTGGCAGGGATGCATAACACATTATCTGGTTTTGAGTGACATGTTACCGTTCAAAAGCAGTTTAGAGACGTTTCTTCTGTAAAGATAAACTCAGTTGCTGAAGTCCACACTAATGAGAATTTGGTTTTCTCCTCCAAAGGAGGATGGATCTGCTGTCCCAAATTTTAAGTGTGTAATAGATCGTAATTGTTATTTATTTTCAGCGAGTTCCTGGTTTGGTAATCAAAGATCTATCAGCATACAGCAATATGTTTAATTCGAACTGTATTCAAAAAAAATTAAAGTAGGTATAGCCTGGCAGATTCTTATCTACAAGATGATTTCTAAGCTCTATTCCATATTTTTGAGTATTTCTGCTTTTAGACTGCAGCTGTGAGACTTCTCGAATGCTTTCTTAATACTTCAGGTGATAAACAACGTATTTAAGAATTCCACATTGTTACTATTATAATTTTGATAGCAATAAAATATACATTGTAAAATCGCCTGCAGATTAAAAAGGCAAGCTAGAAATCACTAGGTAGAAATCCATGAGCTCTTCTAAAAAAGAGCACTGGGAAAGTACAACTTAGCAAAGGTGCTGGGAGGACTATCAGGCAATACTTTAGGTATAAAATAAAATAGACTAATTCATATGAAACTATTTCACCTCTCTCCTGGGACATACTACAGTCACATGGGCATCTCTGCTGCCTTCCACTAAGACAGCAGAAAAGCACAAGTAGTCACTCAAAGAAAAAGCCCCTCCAGCCCTTTATATGAATCAAAGCTAAATAAGTATTTGTCAATCCCAATGTTGTTCTTTTTTTGAAATACTGCCATTTACCTTCTCAAACACCTTAACGCTCAAAGGAGAATTCTAATCTTCCTATCTCAAAAAAAATGGTTTTTTACTTTTAATTTTTTATTTTAAACTTGAATTTATGCTTATAGTAGTCCAAAGGATAAAGTCTTCTGAAAATTAAAGATGTGGATTATCAGATAAATTATAGAAAAACAAAAGGATTTTCATATAAGGGTTTCTTCTCACTTAAGTCTCTCTAGAGCACCAGCACACACGTTCCATGGGTAGGGCAATGGAATCCATTTTTTCCTCTACTTACACACGCATGTGTGCAAACACACACGAATGTATATACATATTAACAAATAGTGAGCTTCATGCACATGCATACAAGTACCATGTGACAAGCAGTTCTGTAATACTGTTGTCTTAGTTCATGTTGGTCAGTATAAATTTGTATTTTAAGCTAATGACTGTACAGTTAAGGACTATAATATACCTTAAAGCAGTAAATAAGTTTAAATCTGGAAGGGTGATGTTCTAAATCAACACTACAATTTTAATTTAATACAACTTCTTAAAAAAATCCACTTTTATAGTAGGCATTACATCTTTAAGTTTTAGAACACTTTATTCAAATCAAAGTAGATAATTTTCAGTCTAACTTTTTTTTTTTTTTTTTACAGCCTTTCTATATATAGACTCTTAACCATTTATATCTGTCATCCCACACCGAAAAAAGGAAACAAACTTGGACATCATTAAATATACAGAGCATGGACCACTACTTCAGCAATTAATCTGGCATTATGAACATGTAATAAAAATTAGAAACAATTATACATAACAGAGTGAAGTATTAATAAGCTATGGTCTAAACTACATCTTCCAAGAAAAGGATACCTTGTATTCTGTGTAAAAGCGACTGCCTTAGAACTGCAAAGTCATAAAAAGACACCTGCAACGAATTGCACAGTATCTGTGGTGCAGTCCTCAAAATTTTATAATGCAAGCAATCAGCATTTCGCTAGACTAACAGATAAGCAAGGACAAAAGATCTTTTTCTTTTTTGGGGGGAGTGGGGAGGAGGAACAAATAACATTTGGAAACAGTATTTCAATCAGATGTACCTTTTGTTCAGTATGTTTTTAAAGAACTATGAACTACTTCATAATCACATTTTCAGTTTAAGGAAACCATTTTTTTTTTCCAGGAGAAGCTGATTCATTATTTCATCTCACCCTCTTAAAAAGAGCCAACATTACAATAAATACCTAACTCATTTGAAAGAGGAAACTGAGTTAATTCTATATTACTAATCCTTTAGTACGTCAACAGTAACTAAATTATGGACATTCATTTTTTACCTGACAACTAATAATTGCATAATCTGAATCCTTTATGTGCTAATATTTAAACCCTAGTATATTTATTAACAGTCTCTTAAAAAAAACAACAAACCAACCCACAAAAAACATTCAAAATCCAATAGAAGACAAACTTAATAAAATTACCTTTGGTAGTCAATTACACAAATAAGATTAAATATTTGGGGTTTTTAACTTAAAAAAAAAGCCAGGAATTTTTCCATGTCATAGACTACTTGGGAAATTGAGGGACTACTTACTTAAGTCAAGAACATCATCTGTCTTTATCAGATCTTCCTCCCTTGTGAGTGGTAACTGAGTTTCTGGTTCATCTCGCAAGTGCAGTGAAAGTGAACGGAGCATAAAGAAAACTCTGATTGCCTTGAGAAATCAAAAAAAATAACATTAAAATGTTGCAGCACTCAGTACTTCATATCTTAACAGAATCTTACAAACACACACTCACTTTTACAAACTCTGAGTTTGTGGTCATGCAGTAAATCTTTTTAAATTGAGAAAATAGAATGTAATTTCAAAAGGTAGTTAAAAAGGGTATGGAAGAAGTTGAAACATGCTATTTATTTTCAGTGAAGTAGAAGCAGCAAGAGCTTTTATCCCACTGGCACACTTACACAGACTGTGACTGACAGGCAAATGATTACCGGAGCTGCTTAAGCAAAACCAAAAACATTGAAATTTTTTTAATCATTATTTTAAGACTGATAGTTATTTACAATACCTTTACACTACAGACAACTAAGCAACTGACCCTCAGAGACTCTCACATTTTGAACTTTAAACAGTAATAACTTTTCTGGTTGAGTCTAGCTAAGATGTCTACAAATATGGGAGAAGATAGTGGGGATTTCTGAGTTTTAATTTGCTGTGTTCATCAAAACTAACCACGTGCCATACAGCATTCCTGGAGAACTTCATCTATATTCTCAGAAGTCTACATAAGGGCAGAGCACTCTGAAAGCTGCACCAGTCCCAAGGAACTTTCAACAGCTGCTCTGTTAAATTAATACTCCCATACTGATTTAGAAATTAATGACATATGGTATGCAAAGACTAGATAAAGTGTCAAAGAACAATCACCATTTTAATAGCCACATTTTGTATCACAAGATACACCTGAAGTTCAGCATATTGTTATAGTAATTCAGCCTAAGAGAGGTAGTCTACCTGGAAGAAAGTAGTACAGGAATTCTAAGAAATTCTAAAACTTCTAGATCATTGTGATTAGGGGAAGGAGGACCAACAAGGAAGCATTACAGGACTTCCTTCTGATGACAAAGACCCTTCCATCCCAAAGAATTTACAGGAATATTTGTATTGATTTTCGAATTTCCAGCAACAGAAGTTAAGCTATTCCATGAAAAACCATGGAGCAGTCAGTTTCCATTAACATACATTTCTGAGTACCATTGCCCTCAGAGAGAATTCTAGGAAGCATTATTGCTTTCTGAGAACAACACTTTTCAATATAATTCACTGTACTTTATCGAGCTTAACTTGCTGTGATAACAAAAGTTGTGTGGCTTTAAGTAATGAAAACAAAAGTTTTCAGAAGATTCCTGGAAATACGTTTTTTCTTCAAGAGTACTTGAGTATACTTACATACACACTTCCATAAATGCAAAGCTACCCGAAGAACAGCACTTTTCAGATAATAACATCATGCAGTAATATATCGCTAAGACTTACTGGCACTCCAAGGCTTACTGCCAGATAAGGGCCAAGAACTGCTCATCCCAAGAATGATGATGTTATTCAGGTCAGTATAACCTCTACAGATTGTGTCAGTCATAAAAATAGATAACTTGCTGGTTTTTTTCCCCCCCTCACTCTCAAGATCTCTATCATGAATTACTTTGGCAAGATGAACACTCCCGAGGGCAGTTATATTTTTTGCTATGTTTAGAAACACCAGCAATATGAAGCCAGCTAGCCTTCCAGTGGAGATTCTTACTATAGGAATATAATGAAAGAGACTGAGGTATCAGTTCACAAAAGGAAACTGACAATATATTATTGAGTGTCATCAAAATGCCTTTTTATGTAGATGTTTAAAGAGTCTAAAAAAAAAAATTCAAACACAAGGACATATTGAATTGACTAGACACAAGAAATCATAGAAAAAAGGTTTCTCCACTGGGACAGGTAAATATTATACACTCTACACACAGGTCTGTCTTCATCAAGTCTTTATGTTATGGATGAAGCTTCCAATCAAGCAGCTTTCAAGGAAAAGTGTTTGTATTTCTATAATTATTCAAAGCCTTTGGCGTCATGCTGGCATGAACGAACATAAGAAAAAAGTCTTACTCACTCTTCGTGTTCTTTCCACATCTCCACAAGGCAATCTTTTCACAAAATCAATACCAGTCAGTGGTGTCCCCGTTGGAGGCAACAAGATTGAGGCATCCATCATCAAGTACTCTACATTCATGGGTTTAATCTATAAAAATATTTCAACATTGATTACTATACAGAGCAACAATCATTTGCATCTTTACTTTCAAATACAACACATGGTTGTGTATTTTAAGACGAAGGAATTGTTATAGATTTCTGAGAATTTTTGATACTATCATCTTATTTTAAGCTCCTTATATGTAATCTTTATTTTAAGTTTGCTCATCATTTCCTAACACACTGTTGATGCTTCCGTACTGAAAAAACACAGGAGAAAACTCTGACAGATTACAGAGCAGGAAAAAAAAAAAGCTATTTAATAAGTACCAAAAATCAAAGTCTGTCAGGTTTGATTTTAAGTTTTGCCTCAAATTTGTGATTACTTCAATCACAAGGAAAAGTTTCTCATCTCTTTTTCTCTCCAAAAAGAACTCTCCAGTCTTTAATAATGCAGTAACTTTCACAGTAGCCAATTCTCTTCAATCTTGCCACTACAGAGTCTCTCCCTCTCATGGTTGCTTATTTTCATGAATAAATGATGTCTGAAATACCTATCCTTCCATACCTCTGGGCAATTTCATTCAAGTTCTATTATATACATATGCACTGGAGACATGAGCTTCTTTTTGCCAGAAAGCCTGATGGAATGGCTAAAATACATAAAAGCCCTTCCCACAGCTTGTACGATATTCTGCACAGAATAAAAATATAGCCATATGGCCATTCCAAAATAGCCAACTGTAACTGGAAGCATTCCTGGCCACTTTGCCATGGTCAGATATCATAAAAGAAACAGACTGAAACAAGGTCCAGAATTTTCACAGTGCAGTCTTGAATCGCTGCCTTGCACACATACAAGCTCAAAAATAGTCTTTAGCCAAATTTCTCATCTCAGAACAATTCATCTTTAGTGTCTGAAAAACTGGATTAACAAATACAATTGATGTGTAGAAAGATACAGAAATTTACATAGACAATGAGAACAAACGAGAACACAGAAATTTCTAACACAAATGAGAACACTAAAATTTCTAACAAGTAAATAACTACTTCAGATGCAATTCACATGAGTGTACACTGGTTTAAACAGCATTTTGCATCGTAAAGGTGAAGAATGTTAAAAATGTCAACTCACTGCTGAAAACAAAAATATTAAGGACTATGGTGTTCACTCCTCTGAACTTGTTCTCATCTATCAAGGACAACTTTTTCCTTTGTTATTCAGACTGTGCAAGTACACTTCTGCCTTTGTAGAAGCTCTATACCATGTTATTTACACAACTCCTCTGACAAGACATCATCAGTGTTACTTAGCACTTAAATCGGCCCACCCAGCAAGTAATTTGCTAGGCAGGCTAATAAATATACTTCAAGAAAAACAAAGATCAAGTTCCAGAGTGCAGCTCTTTTATGGTAAACAAAAAAAATGCAGGACACAATAGAAAAAAACTACACGTATACTTGCAACACAGAAATGACGTTAGTCTCAGTGCCACTTCTCAAACTGAAAGTATTGCAATACATAACTACTAAAAAATAAAATGTTTCACTAAATACTTCTATTGTTTAGGCTGATAAGATACAATGTGGTTTACTATGGGAGGTCCTTGCATGTAAAACACCAACTGCAGACTGTGCTTTTTCAAAAAGACAACTACTGACTGCTCATTAAATCCCTGTATCACCGTAGGAAAAAAAACCCAAATTGTAACTGACTACCCAAAGTAATTTTATCTGAATTCTAACCCAAGAATTGAAAGAGATAATTAGTTTTAAAACATGTTTACAGGTTAAACCTGAACTGTTTGAGATTAACTTTAGTAATCTGTTAAAACTTTCACAGCTGGTCCCGTGGCACAGGCAGTACCTCTCCCACACACGACAAAGGCCCCACTATTTGCTTGCTAGAACCCTGTTATCTGCTGGTACGTAAAGGGGCACCACTCAAAGCTGAAACCTTGCTGGGCTTCAGAAAGGTACAGGAAGATTTTCACACTGTTTAATAACTAGAAAAAAAAATCCAATGTCTCATTTCCCAGGATAAAGTAATTTTTGTATACTCACTTTCGGAAAGTAATGGGCTTTTATTTAATAAAGAGCTGTGAAATTTCACATAAATGATTTATGTAAGAGTAGACAACTGAAAGATAAAAAACCCACCCACGTTTTGTTATGCTACTGAAAATAAAGATACCAGCACATTCAGCAGCTGTTATCAGTAAGTACGTGTTCTCCTCCTGCGCTGTGCCTGGGTTTGAGGACTCGGCAGGGCAGAAGGGGTGTCACTTACTGTCATGCTCCGGTATTCATCTTCAAACATATCCAGAAAAATTTCTTCTCCCTTTCAAGAAAAGGGATATGGACATATCATGAATTCTCACAGCTATGGAGCCACACTTGTTTGGTTTTGTTTAATGATGTGCCGGGTGCTCCTGTCCTGGCCCTGGCAGGGGCTGCCCTGCATGGGCACAGCCCGTTCCAACAGCCCTGCCACCAGGCACCTCTGGGGAAACACATCTGAGAATGGGAGAGAAGCTCCTCTGCAGCTCCTGTAGGGAACCATAGTGGAGCAGACATCCACAGTGCAGCGCTGGAGCAGGTGAATGTGCCCCGAAGGGAACTGCAGTCTGCGGAGGACCCACAATGAGGCAGATGTTTTTCCTGAAGGACTGCAGCTCAGGGAGGACACGACTCACGCTGGGAAAGGGCAAAAGCATGAAGAGGAAGAACAGCAGAGATGAACTGCTAAGAACTGACCCCAAACCCCCATTTCCCGCCCCACTCACACCACCTGGCACAGGGAGAACGTATAAGAGTCAGGAACAAAGGAGCAAAGTTGAGCCTGGGAAAAGGGAGGGATAGGGGGAAAGCATTGCTTTAATTTGCCTTTGTTTCTTACTATCTAAATTTATTTTAATTGGCAATAAATTAATTTTTGCCAAGTTAGGTCTGACTTGCTCACGATGGTAACTGGTAAGTGATCTCCCTGTCTTTATCTCGACCAAAAGATTTTTTCGTCTTATATTCTTTCCCCATCCTGTTGAGGAGGAGGAGGAGGAAGAGAGTGGCCGGGGAATGTCTGGCAGTCAGCCATGGTCAGGCCACCACAAGTCACTTTTTTTGTAAGCCGCACTGAGAAAACATTCTTCAAGAGAATTCTAACAAAAATAGAAAGCAGTTTTAGACACTTGAAATCTGTCATGGATTTACTGCTCCTTGTTAATGCCTAGGGCTAAAAATTTTATTTCTTTCACTGTTTACAGTACAAAAAAAAGGCAAAAAACTGCAGAGCTCTCTGATAAGAAAAAAAGATTAAGTAACATTTTAAATCATCATTTGAGATAAGATACAAATAAAAAGTTATGCCAAAAAAACACATGCCATGTAAGTGTTAATGACAAAATCCCAGAAACGTTCGAATAGTGTAGCTCTGTTCCATGAAATACATAGCAGTTGCAATAAAAGCCTCTGACTGCTAACTTGACCTCCAGCACAAACCCTGTGAAACTTCTGACAGCCTTTTTGTGACGTATGTCAGTGTGGTAGGGGAAGAGCAGGAAAGGAGAGGAATTCTCCAGTGAAACAGTTCCTTCTCTATCATAAATATGGAGTTCCCATCTTAAAAGAAGTGCTGCGTTGGGCATGACGTAGAGACTGGGCTGCAGACTTACTTTTAATTCCACATTATGTAATTTTTTTTTTTCTTACAGCATTTTGCATATATACCTTATAGAAACGACGAAGGAGGTGAACACTTTCTTCCCTTGCACCCTAGAAAAGATAAAATAACTGTGTTTCAGGAGTAAATACACCATTTACTCAAAAGTCACATCTAAAAAAAACCACCCAAAAACTCATAAAGAGACTGTCTATTAATAGGCCCATACTCATAGCCTTCAGCCCAGACAGTTCTTGCACTTATGAAAATACAGCTTATGTGAGCTTGTTAGTTTCAAAAGCACTTTTCTTTACATTGTTGAGATGGATGACATACAAATTCCAGAGATAACATTAAATATAACTCTGCTTGAGAAGTTAAAGAGTTTAAATAGCAAGGTAACAGCAAAGCTGAGAACAGAACACGGGGTACGGATTCTTTATGTTCACTGCACAGAACCACCAACGTAAAGATGTTCTAGAACCTCAAATTTCGCACAAATTCATTCAACTATACTACCAGACTCAAAGACAAGTAATGCTGTGACTAGTAATTTGAAATAAAATACTTACCTCAAGGCAAGCAAGGTGAACATCTTTTATGATGCTGCCATTTTTAGAAAACACAAGCTGCTTGAGCAATAGGCAGCCAAGTTCTAAAGTTGCCAAACGGATTTTTCCATCTATGAAAAGAAAATATTGATATAAAAATAGCAGCAGTTTAAGTATTGCTCTTCTCATTACCTGATGTTCTTAAATGTTTCTACTCTTCTCTGCAATTTTCATAAACTTTGCTCCTGTCATACACACCCTATTTGACAAGGATGAGTGCTGATGCTGGCTTGCAATACTGATGGCTATTAAAAAAACCCCAAACAAACAAAACAATCAAAAACCAAAACTGGAAGAGTAATCTAAAGCAGAAGAAAATTTAAGGCAGAACCACGCAATAAGAAGGTAATAAAGATTAACACTATTAGAAAAGAAGCTGAAAGCAATGCCTTATCAACCTGAAGCACGGGTTGAATCGGACTAAAATTACAGAAGAATCACAGATGTTTAGCATGGATAGTAACAAGACGAAAGGAGGTTTTGTACATGGCATAATAATAAGGTATAGCTTTTCCTTAAAAAATGTCCAAAGCATTCAGATCCAGCCTGGATGTGAAAATGTAGAGAAGTCAGAGTGAAAGAAGCCATTGAGATTTTAAGATTATAGTTTCAGATGGATTAAAAAAATAAAAAGAGAGAAAGATACAGTCTGAGCTCAGTGATCAATATTAAGACAATATATCCAAGAGACAGACAGACATCTTAGCTTTTGACCCCAACTCCCATCTACTATTTTACAAGTTAGTAACAAGAAAGACAAAAGGAGATGTTCTACACAGCATTTAGCAAGCTTAATAAACCCCCACTATTTCCACCCCTCCCCAGAAGTGCTTTTGTTTAAATAAAGGCATTTCTTCATCCTGCACTCTTTCTCTCTGCAGCATGAACAAACTCTTTTATATATAAATGTTCTTTTAACCTGTGACTGGTACATCAGTATAACGAGTTAATACTCTGTACATCAATCTTACAAGTCAAACGAACATTAGATTTTATTCTCCAGACAATCAGGAATTTGATAGTCTGTCGGTTTCAGGGGAAAACCAGTTCTACTCATTTGAAGTTTTAAGAGGGGAAGTGCAGGAAGAAGAGCTGTGGCTTGAACAAAAAAAAAAAAAAATCATGTTTCCATGGAATAGGTCACTAAGCCTTGTAACCCTCATTTCACAAAAAAGTTGAAGTCAGGAAAAAACCCACATCTTTTCTGCAAAACAGTTCAGAAGTGAAAATACCATCTGTGATTAAAAAAAAAATAATGGGACACCATATAGTTTTCACTTATTATACCCACTCAATGTTCATTGAAGAGCATGCTAAACACTTCCCCCTCAAACACAAGAGGCTAGGTAGCTTTTTTTTTTTTCATCTTTCAAAATTTCAGCTTGGCAAGAAAACAAACATTGGAAAAGTGATACCTGGTTGCGCAGCATAATTCATGATCCTGATGAGCCCTTCTGCAAGTACATGATTATACGAGTTTCTCTCTTCAGCACGTTGAGCTGGAAGTTGAATTCTCTCCAGCTTGACTGGGTCAATTCCTTTTGTGGGAGATGAAGGAAGAAAGGTAAGTTAGAAAACAGGAGTACGCCTCGAGGTAAGTATTTAATAGACTGCAGCAGTTTTCTCAGAAGAGAGTCATTAGCAATACAAAACTGGGCAAGTTAGTTTTGAATTTCTATTACAAGGAAAAGGAGGAACAAGAGAAAGACTAAACACATTTATGTATCTCTGAAAAGTCTCAGCCTTAAATGGAGCCTACTGGGTGAAGACACTCAAATCCCAAAGTGGTTGGTGACATCCAAACCATTCTGCTGCAGCTGGAATTCTCAGAATAAATAAAATCGATAAAATCTATTGATTTAAAATAAACCTAAATAAATCTAAAATTAAAATCTAAATAAAATCAAAGTCAAGCCATACATCTGAAGAGCATAAAGGCTAAAGATGAAAGTCTGATTTTAAATTCTGCTTTGGTAGTAAGTAATCAGTTCACATGTTTTTAAAAAACAGGAATTTTATTTTGTAACTAGTAGCCTCTGATTTAGTACCCTCTCCAATGTAAGTCACAGATTCTCACTGACCTCTATAAGGAAACTAAACCCATCTTTCTTCAACCTATTCCTGTAAAATAGCAATCATTTCTCAAAATAGCCTGGTTACTGTAAGACTTCTTAGAAGAAAACAGTTATGGATTGCTGAGGATCTCCCTGTCCTCATTCTGAAGAATGGTAATAAACAACCCCATAAAACAGAAGATGACTATATCGCAGTTTACAGCTTCTTCCAACCCTGAACTTGTAGCTAACTCTACAGAACAATGCCATTTGTGATATCTGATTTATTTCTTCGCTAAGCATATGTATTTGGAAGAACTAATATAGGTCTGTTTGTATCACTGTCATTAATCTTCAAATGTTCTCTGTCATGATGAGACTTAAGAAAGGGGTGGGAGGAAGGAAGCATTTAAGGAACCAAGGCAGAGTATCAGTGTTCACAACAATCCAACAGTTTAGTAAAGAGCTACAGTTTTCCTTCTGGAAAGGAAAGCTGCTTATGAGTAACATTTCTTAGAGAATATATATATGCAGATTAAGCTCTCACAGAAGGAGATGGTTATTAACCAGCAGAAAACCATTAAGTAGACTAAGAAAACATGAGGCAGGACCAGGCAGGTGTTCAACAAAGCAGCCAAATTGAAATCACAATGAAAGAATTCATATTCAGCATCTTTCCTTTGGCTGTCTGCCTGCCAAGAATGCAGAGTTCTGCATTCTTGAGATACAGTACATGCTCTAGCAAAATCTATGAAGGGTTCCTTCTGGGATTAAAGATCTCTCAGACACCATTTGCAACATATGTGTGGCTCTTGGGATTCTTTCTTTCTGTTCATACAGATATTTCTTGCTGGTGAAAAACAAGCATGTTTTCTTTAAAATCGTTCAAGAACACGGTGCAAAATGCAGACTCAGCATCCAAATGGAAGGAATCATGATCAGAGGCCTCCACAGGGTGCACTCATTTAGTGACAGGGACTGAGAAGGCTGCTCCCTTTAAAAGCGAGGCCTAAAACCCAAGTTCTTGATTAAGCTAGGGCAAGTCAGATGGTTTTAGAATGTGTTCTGCTGTAGCCTTCTCCACAGTGCCAGAACCAGGAGGATGGGGCAGAAAGGTAAAATTCAAACAGACCAGCTAGAGAATCAGAAACATATCTGAAACTGACAATATACTGAAACAGAAAACTGCAACTCCTTTTCCTGTGGTGTACAGAGGACAAGCCTGTGTTGCATTCAGTCACAGGAAATCATCCTAGATTTCCAAGTCATTACCTGTTTGTTTGAACTAATTCAAACGCTCACTAGAGCATTTATCTCCCTCAGATAGACAGTAAGTAAACAGATAATCAGATCCTAGACACACAACTCCTAGAGATTTATTACTTCCTGAAACTGGGGAAACAACTTGGCCTCCCAAGTCTGGAGAGAGACCTTCATGCCCTTTTGTAAAAGAAAAAGATCATTGACCCACACCTTGAGAAAATTCAGTATAATACAAGAGATACAGACTAAGACATAAACATTGGCTCCAGCTCAATCCCGAGACACCTTCCATGATTGACACTGAATTTGGTGTAGAAAGGAGACGTACACCTCCTGAGCTTGTAAAGAACAACATCCCACTCTTGCAAACAGGGGCACATCAGCAGCTTGTAAAACCCTTCCTCTTCCAGACACAGAGGCACAGATTCCATGGCCCCCAAGGCTAAAAGCAGTCTATTATAGGGCATGAGAGGAATGGGTTGGTGAAAGACAGTGAAGATCAAAACTGGATGTCATTAGCTGTCTAGCATCAAAGATCTAGGGTCAAGTATGGACAACAAAGGAAAATAGCTTCTAAAGAGCAATAGGGTAATGTAAACTGCTGACAAGGAAAGCCAATGAGTATAGCCTAGAGAATTTTTCATTTAGAGAGAGCCGACATGGCCACCAAAGAATGAAGTGTAGATTTTGTCCCCTTAAATGCATAAAAGGTATCCAGTTTTAGGGTCAGGATACTTGTAGTCTCTTAAGAGGTAGATATTCCAGTGCTTATTTTATTCCTCTTGGTAACCCTGGATATTCAGTGAAAAATAAACAGCACAGAGATTGCTGAAGCTAAGCAGCAAAACGCTGCATCTGCAGCATTCCTCACTGTTTACAGCGACACTATAGATGTAAACGAATTATCTTTGAAACAAGAGAGGATATCAGACTTTTTCTGGGAACGGGATACTGAAGAGTGACTAATTACCCAGAAAGCAAATACGGTGGGCTGAAGGACTATGGTCTTAAATAGAACAATTCTTAGGAAATACAACACTGGCATGTAGGCTTACTCCTTGACAATGATGTTCAAAGACTTCTGGGGACTCTTTGAAGCTGCAAGTTACAACTACTGATCCTGGCTATTTGCAGCTTCAACTAATAAACTTTAGGAGAAGAGAATCCATCTCTGACATCAGGGCTTTCTAGCAGTGACACTTGAAAGTCCCTCAGGAAGACATATTCAGGAAGTAGTATACTGGTTGGAGGAGGAGGAGGAGTGGGAAATCGGAGATGCAAGTCAGCAAGGGCTGGAGCAAAACAAGGCTGTGGTGCTATCTTTGGTGATTTAGTTGCATTATCATCTCTTGTCATAAGAGACTGTGAAAGCCCTGAAATTGTCTGCAAATTATCATCTCAGAGAAGCATTCCCTCATTCCTGGAAAAAGATAAAACCATCAATAGGATGGAGAAGAACAGGAGGGGGTCAGCTTAGCTAGTTCCATCAAGGCTCTCATTTCCACTCGCCCATTAGAGGTACCTGGAAGCTAGAATAGAATCCTTCTAAGGATGCCATCACACCTGATGCTCTTTTGCTCAGTTTACTGTAGCAGTTGCTTCATTTAAATTATTAGTATGTTACAGAAACTATCCTTACAAGCAGAAGATAAATTCAGTTCTCAATTCCTGAAACATGATTATTCATATGAGATATTTATATTATTGCACCATAAGGAATCTATTTAAAATGCATACAAAGATAAACACCAAAAAAGCTAACCATAGTCGTCCCTCAGAAAAGGCACATATTGTCATACTGAATTATCTGAATTATAATAAAGTACACATTTAACATAGTTTTGCTAGTTTATAAAATAGTCCAGACTCCTTAAGAGACTTGCAATATGTATTATGGCACAGAACACTGACAACTTAAATAAGTTTTCAATCAAATATGTCATGATGGACGAGAAGGCTGTTGAGGAATTGTATAGTATAAAAAAGAACTGCTGAAGGACTGTAAAAGCTGGATAGAAATAGGCAATACATGACTTCCATACACACATCTGATTCTCAGGCCTTGTGCATTATCTATATGTTTAAAGTATACAAAGATTTAATTTTTACATATGGGGACAAGTTTTACAACATTTTATACTTGGCTTACATGTAGCAATCACAGGACAGGCAAAACAGGAATGAATTGGATTCTATATATATGTAGATTGAATACAGTGGGTTTCAACTGAAATTTAGAGATTAAAAATGAAACACAATAATCCTATTCCAATTCCAAGAAACCTATAGAAAGAAGTTGTCTGATGTTCACAAAGCTTTCCACCAAATTGTTCTTAAAAAGGTGATCCTTAGTAATTATTTTTACTAACAGCATACTTATTTCTGCCTCCCCCATGTAAAGAATTTTTCACCATTTATGGCATGCATAAGCACAAGATACAAACAGATTGTGTGTGTCTAAAACCATGTGTCTCATTCAGTTTTCTCTGGAAAAAACAAAAATTGCTTACCTTTGTTGTGTGACATTGCATATAGAAGACAGAGCACAAAGAGGGCATAGTAATCATCTTCAGCACAGTCCAGCGCATTATAGACCATATCAAGAAACGGCCTGTGAAAGGAGTAATTTTAAAATGGTCAAGATGACCATATCTACAGAAAAATGAGTAACTATCTTGTTCTTCATGTAGCTAAGCGAAGAGGAAAATTTACAGTAACACACATTTTCAGACATTAAACAAAAATTAACCTGTTTCAGAGTACTCAGATTATAGCCATGCCTTGTATTTACGTTCTGACATTAATTCTGATGTTTTAACAGGAGTTATTACACAATACTTTCCCAAGAACTGATTATTCACACATTTACCGAGTTGTCTGTAGCACATATAGTATGCATGCACAAGTGTTGTACAGCTTGTTTTAAGTGCATACATAAGTAATTTCCAAGAGCTGCTACCAATGTTGCATAAACAAAAAAGACTATCTTAAAACTCATGTACTAAATGAAGTTGAAAAGTTTTTACTATTACAAGGAAGCAGTTTTCACCAGAAGTTTGGAGGAAGCTAGGTTATTCCAAGACAATCGGTCAAAAACTTCACTGTCAAACAGTTACAGGAAAGAAAAATGAACAAGGAGGGAACATTTGAATGGAAAAAAGAAAGCTTTGGACTGCAGATGAGCTTTGTTTTCCTGGGTTTAAGCATATGTGACCTACAACATATACAGGAAGCTACAAACAGTGCCAAGTTCACCCTTTACCTGTCCCCTGAATAGACCAGAGATGTCAATTTAATCCAGAAGCCATGTGGACAGATTAGATACAGCTAAGATTCACCTAATATTAGCACAAGCCTGATGGCAAGGCAAGTTGGCTTCTTTTCTTAAACTGGCTTGCATCCAATCAGTTCAGAGCACAAGCAGAAATTAAGTCCATCTTCACAGGTGGCCCAGACAGACCAAAAAGTCAGGGAAGTGTTCGAGACACCCGAAGAAGAGAGCTCAGCACCTTAATTGAAAAGAGATAATTCCAACCTCTCAAAGTATTTTTATACACCAGTGAAAGAAAAAAAATAAATCCTTACATTACCTAATTTACATCCAAATAAAATTAAAATACATTAAAATAACATCCAACGTCATAAAAACAAACACATTTTCCTATCTTCAGACCTAGCAGACAAGAAGCATCCACTACAAACTCACTGTTGTGGTTAACTATGGGTCAGAAGGGCTATCAAAAAGCAGAACACAACATACTTCTATGCCTAGTTCAGACCTGTGGTGCCCTCATGACCACACAATGTATCCCAGTAAGCCACTCGAAGTCCTAACAACGTCTTTAAGACATCCCATCAGTTCCACATGTTTCAACAACACACTTTTGCTAAAACAAGATTATCACAATAACAGAACACACTGTTCCTTTGCTCAATTCATGACATTGCAGTCACATGTTTGTGCGTTTCTGAAGCTGGATTACAAGCATCCTCTAGGATGTACTTAAATGCCACTGAGTTACGATCCCTCTTTGCCCAAGTTCAACACTGCTGCATGTATCTAAGCCAAATTTCCCACACGTAATCTCAAAAGACCCTGAATATTCAAGCAAAAACAGTCTAATAAAGAATTAGCAATGTTGAAAATAAACAGAGTGCCTTCAGACTTCTTAAGCATTAAACACGCGCTACAAGCCTCAAGACATTCTGAAATGGGGTGCTTTACACTTAGCAGAGAGAGTTCGGCTGCAAAGTCCAAAGAAGGGAGAGGATCAAGATAGATAGGTTCAAAATTATTAAAACAGTTTAATGCTAGACAACACAAGGTCTGTTGTCAGACCAACAATAGGTGGTTATTACCCCCAAAACTGACCTATAATGTGAAAGTAATACTTATTTTAATTTTATTCAAACCAACATTTTACGTGATCAAAGCTGCAGAAATATCAGTAGCTGTTGCATTAGCACTAATACTACATGGTATTAAGTAACTTCTGTAATCTCTAATGCATTTCTCGCTGTTTTTCCCCCCATGTACTACTAAGATTTGTGAAATTACGTAACTTAAAAAATATGATTACAGCAGTGAGAGGAATAATTTTCATTCCAGATGCTTCTTCACAGCATCTATCTATATGCTTTATCAAATCTCAATTGCAGTAATCTGAAGCCGAAACAACTTCTAGGAATCCCACTCATCAACAGGTCTTCATATAAACTTAACATGGGATAGACTAGAAAAAAATTCAGCTGTAAGAAAGCAGCAACAGAAGGCACAACATAGCATGAAGGTTTTGCATTCTGGAAAAAATCTTTGCTGTGCAGCATATGATAAAAAGTAGTTAATTTAAAACAAGCCTTTAATCTTAAACTTTCCAGTAGTGAGGCACACCAGAACAAAATCACACCAAAAATACTTCAACTTTCTATGTTCTTCACATTAGCATAAGGGCTAAAGGAAATTGAAAACCTGACTTGCCTTTTACAGCTACAGATTTTTAATTGCCAACTGTGCTGGTTTCCATTGATTTTTCAACAACTATTGGACAACTTTTAAAAGCCACTGTAGTATTAAAGTCTACATGGCAAGTATTTTCAAACGCACTTCTTGACTCTGTAAGCGTTTTCTTTCTTTACTAGCCTTTTCCTAGTGACTCGAGAGAAGAAACAGATCAAACGCCAACTGTTCTTCAAATTATTTGTTCTTGTGGAGTATGTCCACCATTGAAGACTGCAACACATTAGGAATCACTGTCATCACAATCATTAATGATTATTCCATTTCTGGAAGCTTCTCCCACTTCAAGCATGGAATAAGAGACGACTGCGTTTTCTACTACCACTTGGCACCTTATTCACATGGCTCACCTTATCCACAAGACTCAGTGATTCCAATCAGTGCAGGAAAGAAGCTATACACACTTGAGTAAATTTCTTGAGAGATGTAGCTATTGTTTCAAATATTACATTTGGCATACAGAATAACACAAAATCTTAAGCAATAGCAGCTTATCCACCTATATTTCCAAAAATTCATGTACAAAACTAAGGCCAGAAACGTCCTACACAAGGTGTACCCCTATTTTAAAAATATTTTACTCTGCATATTCTTTGATGCTGTTTATTTTTAGAAAAAATGCAGGATGCTGTCAGATCATATCTGCAGATCAAGAGAGTCATTTGCCAAACGCATTAGCATCTTACATGTAAGTATTTTGCACTTGTAAAGACCTGAGCATGCTAATTGGTTTAGTATTCAATGCAGACATTGCCAATTTCTTTCTAAAAGCCATTTGGCACATATTTCAGTCAAAATATCAATAATCTAGAACAATGTATTTTAAAACCAGTTCAAGTCAAGGTTCAAATTCACTTTTACAATGAAATTAAATGTTATCTTTATTAATGAATGTAATTTAAGCTACATCAAAGCTATAATGGAGACAGAATGAAATTCTGGGAATACCAGGCAGCGTTTCCCAAGTTTAAAAATAAATCTGAAATCCTATTAAACATGTGCATTTCCCCAAGGGACACATTTGCAATTACTTTTGTGTCAGAGGTGGCACATTCGGTTTCTTTTCTTTAGCATTCTAATAATAATAATGCAAAATCCTTACTGAGAAAGTGTCTTATGGGTACTCAGTGTATCCAGGTTTAAATTTTGAAGTTAGGGCAATTTCTGCAGCCAGAAACACTTAAAAACTGCATTTCCAAGAGAAGTTTTCAATAACCCTAAGATATATTAATGAACCTTGGAAACTGTACACAGGGTTTGTTCATAACTATTCATACTATTAAAATTCTGTAAAATTTTGTCCTGAACTGAGGAATTCTCTGTGTTTTTTTCCTACAGGTGTATACAAAATTGACAGATGTGAACATTAAGAAAACTTCTGCCTTAATTTAGAAGTTTAGAAAATTCTGGAATGAAAACATTTATATTCTGGTTTTACTGTGTTACTGTTCTGTAATTTAACTTTACCAATTTAAGGCATCAAAATTTCCATAAAGGAAGGCACAGACTTTACAAAGGAAGAGGATCATTTCTGAAACTAATCAGTAGACAGGCCACATCCCGTTTTTCTGTTGCTTCATTTACTCATGATGCACAAGAACTCCCATAATTTTAATTTGAGGCAGATTTGAGACATCTCTTAAGAGAAGTGAGAGAGTTAAAGGGAGGACAATCCAGCAAATATATTACAGTTCCTTTATACCTGTTCCAGCTTGTTATCTCACTCCCAGAGGCAGCTGCACTCTTTTCCTCATCTGTTGTATTCTGTTCTGTCACAGTAGAGATAGACAATTCTGACAGTTTACATCTCTCCATGATTACCATCTCTATTTCTAAAAACCAAAAAACCATCAAAATTTCATTTTTTTTAAACAGTTATTACAAGCTCTTTCATATTTTCTGTCTGCATTAAAACTGACTAATGCAACTATAGATAAGAGGTATAACCATATCCTCAGAAAAGTTAATGAACGAACAGCTGTAGGCAAATTTTCTTCCCAATAAAATAGTTTGATTACATTTCTTTAAGGAATTTGACTGCTATTAGAAAATTTTACATAGACATAATATATGTAAAGAAAATACACAGATTATTTTGGTAAATAAACAAGCAACAGTAATCTCCTTCCCCACCAAACTACACAAAGAAAAATCATATAAACTCTTTTTGGAAAAAAAAGTTCTTTGTGAAAATGCTCATGAGATTAGGGCATGGGTGAATGTTAAGTTTCACAGAGGGTGTAAATAGGTCTCTACTACTACAGCAAATCAGATACCTGGTCCTGACTGCTTCATACCTATTGGCTTTAAGTAGAAGTATTAGGATCAAATCTAGCGTTTGCTTAAGAATTTGGACAATGATGACTACTGACTACACGAGTTTAAACAGTAGATCGTATCATATTTTCTTCAAATCCTGGTAGACAATACATCACCAGTTGTTTGACGCCATTTAAGAAAAGCTTACTCAAACAGACTGTCCACCTAAATCAAAATGCAACTGTGTTTGGAGAGGGCTGTCAAAGCATAAAGGTCTTCTTTTCGATTGCTTGCATGCAATTCTGCCACATTTTTCTCAATTTATGTCTAAAGTAAAGACTAGTTTCTAACGTGAATCCTTCTGATAGTTACTAACTAGTAAAATAGACAGGATATGCTGTAAGACCACTCATCCTAGAAAACCAATTCTTCTTAAGGTCAGCATTAGGTCAAAAATCCTGAAAACATGCAATTAAAAATCTAAAAGTTTAAGATGTTTTCTTCAGTTTTTAACTATTTAATAGTACTAGAATGTACTGGCACTTTTAGCACACTTCTTGAATTTTGAAACATGCTGTGCTGGTTTTGGCTGGGATAGTTAATTTTCTTCACAGTTGTTTGCATGGGGCTATGGTTTGGGTTTGTGCTGGAAACAGTGCTGATACCACAGGGATGTGTTAGCGACTGCTGAGCAGTGCTTACACAGAGCCAAGGCCTTTTCTGCTCCTCACCCCACCCCACCAGCAAGTAGGCTGGGGGTGCACAAGTTGCTGGGAGGGGACACAGCTGGGACAGCTGACCCCAACTGACCAAAGGGATATCCCATACCATATGACATTATGCTCAGCATATAAAGCTGGGGCAAGAAGAAGGAAGGATGGGACCTTTGGAGCAACAGCATTTGTCTTCTCAAGTCGTCATTACGCGTGATGGAGCCCTGTTTTCCTGGAGATGGCTGAACACCTGCCTGCCGATGGGAAGTAGTGAACGGATTGCTTGTTTTGCTTTGCTTGTGTACACAGCTCTTGCTTTATTTATTAAACTATCTTTATCTCAATCCACGAGCTTTCCTACTTTTACTCTTCTGATTCTCTCCTCCATCCCACCAGGGGTGAGCGAGCGGGCAGCTAGGTGGTGCTTAGTTGCCTGCTGAGTTAAACAACAACACATGCATAAAATACTCCCAGACATTTTACAAAGGTAAAATGGCTACACCATTTGCCTTATCACAGAAGGAAAAGTTAAAGTTGTGAAGTCTACTTATAAAGTGCCTCATAATTATGTACACCTAGGTGGAAGGCATGCATCTGTGACAAGGGTCGAAGACTACAGGAAGTGATTAAAAACTCTAAAAGTATTTTCATATGATTAGAAGTACAATTTAACATGAGAAAAAATACAGCCAAAGACTGAAACAAATAACAGTCACACACTTACCTAGTGCAACAAGAGAACAAGTCTTGTAACAGATCACAACTAGGTCCATACAGTAAATAAAAGTATCCAAATTGTAAGCATAATTTTTATCCGCTGGTATACTCACCTTCATTTTCACTGCTTGTTCTGATGCCCTTTGAACTTGCTTCTGTACCTTTAGTTTTATCGAGGTCATCTTGGTTATCTTCAGATCCTCTCTCCTCTTCGTCTTCCTCACCAACATTTTTATAGTTGGGTCTTTTCTGCACCCTCTTCTTCCCTCTCTGTTTGTTAATTTCAAGAGACCGCTCAAGTGTTTCTGTTGGTTTTATGAAACATCTGATACTTGACTTTGCCTGTAAATATGAAGAGTTTACACTGAGTTACAGCAAGACGTTTTTAACTCTAAACGGTAAAGAAACTTCAGTTCATATAGAAGAGGGGTTTTAGAATATAAATTAGCATACCACTTACAAATCTCAAATCCATTTTAAAACAAGAAAGCAGACCTCAAGTTGTACCAAACCATCAGTAGAACAAGTAACATATCCTAAAGATCTATCACTAAAAGGTATGCCATCTTGAGACAAGAAGATCTAGGACTACCTATTTTATCAATATAAGTTTATTTTTCGTATTATTCTTATTACTAGTTTTCCTTCTTTGAACTTTGAGACAGGTAGTACACACAAAATAAAGACACCTTTTGCAAAAAGGATAAATGCAGCAAAATCCAAAATGTCTGTCGACAGTAACATATTAATATGAAATACACTTTTTAAATGTCTTTGGCAGTAGCAAGGACAAAAACCAATGCTGTAAGCCAAGAGCTTTTTTTGAATCTCAAGCTTCTCTCAACAGCATAGTAGTCCTTGTATCAACTAGAAACAAACGGCACTGACATCAAACTTTTTTTGGGCCTCCAGACATAGACTTACGAAGTCAGGAAAATCAACACCACTTCATTTGTTAGACTTTCATATACTTCTGTTCTACCCAGAGATATCAGAAGTTTATCTTTCAAGTGAAAACAACATTTCTGGACAAGATGGCAAACTATTCAATCAATACCTGATTTTCCTGATTATCAATTTACACAGCAAGAAAATAAATTTAGATGAAAAATTTCTCTGAGAAGAAATAAGTATTTCCAAGAATCTGACACATCCTAACAACAGAGAACAACATATTCTTATGGAGAGACACAAGACACTACAAAAAGTTCTGTGACTAGAAGGACTAACAAAACTTGGTTTCCTACAATTTTGCAGATTGTTTCTGAGCTGTGATGCTTTGAGCTCCCTTCGCACTTGTTAAGCCTGCCAGGTGGACTGCCAGAGTACATGCTCTCTCCCACCCAGAGCTATAAACATTAATCAGTCAAACCTCTCCGTTACTGAGAAGTGAAACACATGGTTTGGGGGCTTCCTGCCAGCAGAGGTTTAGGCTGAACAAAAGTGCTACAGAAACTTCATTACCTTTCAGATCTCGATACTTCAATCAATTAGATGCTGGCTAATGGGTTAACAATTCAAGGGCAAAGAAGAGAAAAGAAGTAAGACTAGAGTAAATACAAAACTGTTTCCATTCCTTGCCTTAGGTGACTCAGGTACAACAAGCATTAAAGACAAGTGCAAAGAGACCTCAGAGAAAAAGTCGGGGGAAAAAAAAAAAAATCCCTCCCTCCACTGAAAAAGGAACACCTATACATAAAAATAAGACATTACGAGAAGATCTGGGAAGAAGCCTCCTACAAGTCAAAAGGCCAAAATGTTTCTCAATATTCTGACTTTTTAAAAAGGTTTTCTAGAAATCTTGCATAAGTCACCTTACACTTGGCACTGAAACAAGCTATATAGTAGGACGAATCTTTCACAATACCAAAAAAAACCCACAATGTGAAATTTACCACATTTATGTCCCCCAGAAACCTCTCTGATATATTTTTAGTCTGATCAAACTGCAACATAGGAAGGTTATAAACCAATCAGAGTTACAACCAAATTACCATTTATTGGTGGCTTCTCATCAGAAAAGACCTAAGAGAACAACACATGAAGTCCTGTTCTTTAGGGAAAAAAAGAAAAGTAGCATGCAAGCTGCATTTTCCCCTTCCTGCATTTACTTCTTACAATTATTTCCTAGAATCCTGTAGGTACTTTCTTCATGAAGAACACATGTACTTAACATCCTTCTATTTCTAATACGCTCTTAGCCATATGAGCAAAATAACAGAAGAGACCAGCAGAGAGCGATGTGCTCATAAGCACGGAACCGTGGTGTGGTCTGGTCCATCTCAAGAAAGAACGTTGAGAAAAAGTCAACATATATATTCCGTTCTGCTAAATATAACAAGGCTATGTATTTCTAACATTCTAAAATCAGACTTAAAATTCCTTTACACAGTATACAGCTTATCTAAGTTGATTATACAGTTTGAGATACTGCTAATTTATACTTTTAAAATCTCTTTCAACCATATTTTCAATTATGGTTTATCTTGTGCAATATGTGCTAGTAAAATAAGGTAGTACCAGTAGCAACTTTTACGGGAAGGAGAAAGTAGGTTAAACAACAAACCAAGAAACGTAAAATAGGTAGAACTGGCCCACATCCGAATTATGCAGGAAAACAGATCTCACAGGAAATAAGGTAAACCTTAGTGTGACGAACTGCTAATAAGTTTAAATACATTCTGTTGGCTACACATATTCAACTCTCATCATGACACAAAAGTCAGTATTTCTTCTGATGCCACCTAAAAACAGAAATACAAGGTAAAAACATGGAAAGAAAGTCTATCTTAATTTGCTATACTTTGTGTTGGATAACCTGTTCAATGGAGGTTGAGTAATCATTACTGCTCCACGATGTTCAGCAGATCTCCATGGATAGCTTATTGCCAACTCGTAAGCTATCAGCAGTTAGATCTGTTGGTAGTTTTTTCCACAAATTGATTTCCAGTAAAAAGTACCATTTGTTCCTGTCGTGACAGCTACCATTGCTCTTTTGCACTAAATATCTCTGGATATGTTGCATTTATACACAGCAAATGCAACTCTTAGCTTTTATTTTTGTTAAGTGTTCTTTACTCATTGTCTCCTATCAGTAAGATATGTGACCCTGCTTCTGGTAATCTCAGTCCATACTCTCTACACCTCATTCCACTTTAATTCATCTCATTAGGAAGATGAATATAGACATGAGGTTCTAGTTCCTTCAGGTTTTAGAAACTACATGTTAGCTAGAAATCGACAGTTACACTTCAATTTAAATATACCAAGACATCTCAGTTACAAGATATGAGCAGTGTTAGGTATAGAGAAGGGGTTTAGAGATAACTGGGGCTCACCATAACAGAGACATATCCCCAAAACAACAGTATCAGAATGATTACCATGGGAAATTATAACAGAAAGGAAGTAGTAAAAGATAATTTGGGTCTGACTTAAAAACAAACACAATTCTAAACTCAGTTAAAAAGTAAATTAAAATACTTGCTCATTATTTTTCTCTACTAACCCCAGAACAAGCAATTCTAAAGTAGCTTCTGAAATAGCTTCCATGATTCAGAAGAAGTTTGTAACTTCTTTGAAACAGTGCACCACAGTAACAACTTCACAATGATCCTGATATACGTTATAGTCCAGAAAACAGCCTGTGAAATGTCTAACAATGCTCAAAATAATAAATCAACTTTCTGCTCTAAGAAGTCCTATCACAGAACAAGAAACTGCCTCACCTTTACTTAAGTTGTCTATGCCTCAGTATCTACAGCTACCTTTAGCTTCACTGCATTGAGCTGTGTATCAGTGGAAAACATCACGTAATTTATGCAGTAGCTGTTCATACTCATCAACTGAGAGCAGATCACTTGATAGCTCCCCTCACTGGGAATAGGGCATGGAGCTCTTGTGCTGAAGATTATTCCCTTCTCTTTCTGCACATAAATAACCTCTATCAGTAGGCTTTCTGACAGCACAGGTTTTCCCCTCCAAGGTTTCATTGAAGAATATGGTTGAATTTCCTGAAAACTAGAAACTAAAGCTTGTCCCATGGAAGTGTTTTCCTCATTCACCAGAAGTGCTCTCCCTGTAGTAAAGCTCGACTTCTAGCAGTTTCACTGTCTATCCTAGAAAGTCAGTACCTCTCCTGTTTATTACCTGTTCACATATGACATTGTCATTCTCCCAGTTTACATGCCATGAGGACACATTTTTAAGATCAGTAAGATGCAGCAACCTAAATAGTACTACAAACATAAGAGAATAGATGAACAGAAGTTTATAAGTAACGCCCATCACCCCGTCCTAACATTAGTGCAAGTACACAAACATGCTACAGGTATTTTGCAACTCTGTACAGTAACTATTGACAGGAAAAGAAAATCTCACTTCTGCAATAACTGGTGCCCCACCCTCTCGCCACAAGTTTCCTAGTAATAAAGCTGCTTCTGCACAAGTAGCACACACGACAGTGAGTATGCAGCCAGCAGGTCAGACATTTGCTCACACGAGTAAGAGACTGCTTTATCTGAAAGCACTTAGTCAGCTCTACCATTCCACTGCAGTTTTTTCTAAAAAAGATTAGATTCTAAATATCAAGGGCAACAGTACAAAACACAACTCAAAAGCTACTGGCTAAGATCAGCCCACACAACTTCCACTGCACAGTAGGGAGAAATTTGGAAAAGTTGACGTATCATGGAAGAGTTGAAGCATATCTCCTCAAAACTCTCAGAGCTACAGCCACTGCTGGGAAAGAAGGTGCGTAAGAATCAGTCTACTGCTCGTTATGAATTAAACATTCAGTCAGTAACTCTTTGCTGACCAGTCCAACATTACGGGGCATGTTCAATCTTTAGACAGAACTACAGTCAGAAGCCTCTTACCAAAGGTCATACCCCCTTCTTATTAACATCCCTAAACAGGCCTTTAAAAAGCAACAAGCAAGCATTTTGCAAACTGTGAAACCCACCACAAAGGGGAAAAGAAATCATATACATGACATACGTCAAAAAACACTAACAGCAGCACCTAGTAACATCTACACAGGATTAAATCTGATGGTACAAAGGCAATGACAACGCAATAGCACTCCTATCTGTTTGTGGCTGGTCTATATTCTCTATGCACACTGATGCACACTTTCAGAGATGATCAGTTTTACTGCTAAAACACTGGCAATATTCAGACAAAAATCTTCATTTTCTTCTATATCCACAGGATTTACTGTAAGGCCAGATATTTTTTCTTAGAAACTACATTATTTCCCAGGAAATAATTTCCCAGGAAAGTTGTGAAGAGCATTTTTTATTTCACTACCAAAGAGCTGATAACAAAAACCGAACGCAGAAGACTGGATTATAAAGCGTCCCATCACAATGACAGAAGCCTTTGCAGTGTCTGACCCCCACAGAACAAACTAAGCATTCTAATTTGCGTCCTACGCATTCTTATACCACTACCTGAAATATACGTGCACGCACAAAAACACTGCGACTTGCGCAAGAACATAATATTTAAGTTGCCCAGAGCATTTTTCTGCTCTCAAATCTAACAGCAAAAGCTGAAATCTCCTATTGCTGCTCTTCTCTCCTAAACACAATCACTTTAGCTTACCAGTTTCCAGATAACCAATTTCATTTTTCAAATATTTTCTTTGCCTCAAAATAAAAATCTACAGTGGGTTGACCCTGGCTGGACATCAGACACCCAAAGCTGCTCTATTCCTCCCCCTCTTCAGCTGGAGAGCGAAGAGAAAATTTAACAAAAAGCTCATGCGTTGAGGTAAGGACAGGGAGAGATCACCCACCAATTACCGTCACAGGCAAAACAGACTCAACCTGGGGAAATTAATTTCATTTCTTACCAATCAAATCAGAGTAGGGTAACGAAAAATAAAAATCTATGTCTTAAAACACCTTCCTCCCACCACTCCCTTCTTCCCAGGCTTAACTTCACTCCTGACTTTCTCTGCCTCCTCCCTGTCGAGTAGTGCAGGGGAACAGGGAATGGAAGTTGTGGTCAGTTCATCACACATTGTTTCTGTCACTCCTTCCCTCTCAGGGGAAGGACTCCTCACACTTCCCCTGATCCAGCGTGGGAGTCCTTCCCATGGGAGACAGCCCTCCATGAACTTCTCCAATGTGAGTCCTTACCACAGGTCACAGGTTATCACAAACTGCTCTAGTATGGGTCGTTTCCACAAGGTGCAGTTCTTCAGGAACAGACTGCTCCAGCGTGGGTGTTCCCCCATTGGGTCACAAGCCCTGCCAGCAAACCTGCTCCAGCTTGGGCTCCTCTCTCCAGAGGTCCACAGGTCCTGCCAGGAGCAAGCTCCAGAATGGGCTTCCCACAGGGACACAGCCACCTTCGGGCATTCACCTGCTCTGGCGTGGGGTCCTCCACAGGCTGCAGGTGTATCTCTGCTCCACTGTTAACCTCCATGGGCTACAGAGGACAGTCCGCCACCTCACCATGGTCTTCATCACAGGCCACAAGGGAATATCTGCTCCGGTGCCTGAAGCACCTCCTCCCCATCCTTCGTCACTGACCTTGGTGTCTGCAGAGTTGTTTCTCTCACATATTCTCACCCCTCTCTCCTGCTGCTGTGCCATTGCATTTTTTTTCCCCCCTTTTAAAATATGTTACCCCAGAGGCACTACCACCATTGCTGATTGTCTCAGCCTTGGCCAGCAGAGGGTCTGTCTTGGAGATGGCTGTCATTGGCTCCATCGGACATAGGGGAAGCTTCTAGTAGCTCCTCATAGAAGTCACCTCTGTAGCCCCACCGCTACCAAAACCTTGCCACACAAACCAAATACAATATTAAAGATCAGTTAGTCACTTACTGAGCTTTTCTGTATATCTTGCTCCACTTTAGAAGAAAACACCGAGAGGTCACCATTAAGTATAACTTCAGCCAGTGAGTTCACCAAAGGGGCGTAATGTATAATTAGAAAAACCTATTACAAAAAGGGTGGAAAGAAACACCAGACATGTATTACAGAACACACACAGTTTCACAATTTCAGTCACCGACCACATTTTTTGACCTTGTTAAACTGGTATCTTAAGTTTACATCTACAGTAACGTACAATTGGTAACATTCATAGTTCATGAAATCTACTTCAGAACACAGGAGACCATAATCCTCTCTACAGGTACTTGACTTT